AAAACCGGAGACAGATTCTACCTTCAAGTGAATAAGTATTATAACTTGGAAAGGTAAATTTTCGTTTTTTTCTCCTATTTTAGCTACTTTCTTGTCATTTATTGCCCTCATCTAATTCTATCTCTTCTCAGATGTTTCTCATACATCGGGCGACAAACCGGCTTCATGTTCCGTACCAGAGAAGGCAACTACGAGACCAGGTATGAAGTTGTTTTAACCTGAAATTAGAACAATGATGTGATTGGATTAATCGTTCTCTACAATTACAGAATGAAATTGGATCCTTCCTGTCTCTTATACAATGGTCGAGGTACTGTTATGCATGAGTTGATGCATATTCTCGGATTCTATCATGAACACCAAAGGTAAGATAAGTGTTTTCATTTTTACCGATATGTTGTGACATGCTTGGTGTCCATTGCTTCATATTGTTCTGATAGTCATCAACCTCTAGCATGCAACCAATCACCCTTCGAAAGTGCAAATTTTTTGAGAAGTTTAGTCATCTAACTTTTCAAATGAACTTTCAAGATTTTGAAATTGCAAGGCTGGGTAATCGCATGAATAGTTTAAATCAGGGCGATAGTAGAAGACACATCCGGCCATATATTGTCTGCAAATATCGCAAGCTATCCCTTTCTGCTAAAAGCCCATAAAATATTTTTTATGATTTTCAAAAAAGTTTTTTTCTTCAGAGACGATCGTGATCCAAGAGTGGGACGATTAAGCAATCACTACAACTATAAAATTTATCCAAGATTGTGAGTTTTAGCTTTTGCTTTCAAAGCTGACTGAAGTATTTCAGCTCATCTTACTACATGGGTGCTTATGACCCAACATCCATCATGCACTATAACTTCCCGGGTATCGTCTATCCACGAACTTATTTCTCTGCTTCCGATATCAATAGGCTCAACTCACTGTACAAGTGCAAAGTAAGTGTTTTCAAATCTCTGAAGAACATCTCATAACCACACAAACGAAATGTTTTTATTAACTCTATGACACTATTCGTTTGTGTTTTACCAACGTAAAAACGTTGGACGTCATTTCCTGACACAAGTTTATAGACCAAAACTGTGACCAGTGCCCTGCAAGTTATTGAATTTACACCAGAGAAAAAGATAATAAACTGTTCTTTGTTATCGTTTTCACCCTGAATACGTGCTTTGACCAGTCCAGCTGATCAATTTTGCACTTTGGGTCTACTCATGTATTTCGCTTACCTTTTAACTGCTTTGGCCGAAAAACTTGTTTTACCTTATATTCTCGAAATTTGGTGTATTTCTAAACCCTACAACGTGCTCATTTATTTCTCATATTGTCAGGGTCACAAAGAATAGATTAGAGGGCACTGGTGCAGTTCTACCTGAAATCACGAATGTTCATTCCTCAAGGACATTCTTAATTTCAAGATGGCCCATGACATAATCAAAGACAAAAAATATAAGGGAGAAATTCTCAACTGAACTTTCCGATTTCAGGTCAATCGTCAGAACACAACATCCGTTCTTCGGTCCGTTGCTGAGCAACAAAAGTCATCAGAAGTGAATATTACCTTCCATCCAGATAATAACAATGATCTTCGAAAGAAAATGACATAGATATCATAGTATATAGGATTGAGGTGCGCTGTAACCTTAAGGTTTTAACTTTGCTCTGTTCATATCACTTAACTATTACATAGTTTAATTATATTTCTAGGTCTTAATTCTAGAAAAACAAAAAAAAAGATGTTTAAAAACAGCTTTTTTTAGAGAGAAAGAGAGAGAGCTCAAACTTTCTCAAAAAATCTTTAGTAAGATTGATCTCTAATAATCGTGTTTTCTGCCTTCATATGTATAGATTGTCCTATGTACTGAATTATTGAAAAAAATTATTTAAATAAATAAATTCATTATTAACTTATCATAATGATTTCTCTATCAACAAGAAATGAAACTGTTTGAATGTACGATTTGGGCATCTGAAACTCGGACGATTCATAATTGGTTGAGGAAAACTTGGCCTCATTGAAATAATTGCGCATATTTCTATTTTCTCTTCACATTGAAAACCACTCAAAATCTTCCCTTTTTAATAAAGGTTTCTACAATAGCTAGCAGCTACGTCTCAACATCTACTACTGTCATCTTCGTGCCATTTTGTACATTAAACTTCAATACTATCAATCAAAAATAATAGGTGTTATGGTATCGTTGCTATTGCTAAGTAACCTAATGAATCAACCTGAATTTCAGAATTTCTGTCGTTTTCTCATATTATTTGCAATACCTTCACAAGTTCATTCATTTTTCTTTGGCGGATATTCGAACTGTGGCCAAACTATACAATCACCCTGCACTTGTCCTCAATCGCAATCGCCTCCACAAAATGCAAACAGTTACAATCGTCCCGTAACGAAAAAAATCAATTAATTCAAATGATTCTGAAATATGTTTCAGCCATCATATGTTCAAGCTCCTCAGCCTTGTGCTATCCCAACATCATATGCTAAGCCAACATCATATGGAGCAAGTAAATACAATAGAGAAAAGAACATTTTAAATCTAAAACTTTCTTCTAAGGTTATCCTATAAACGATCAATCATCACATCTCAAACCATCATATGCTGCACCATCCAGTTAACACCTTTGATAGAATCGCATGTAAATCATTATTTTAATTTTAGAAGATGATATCTTCAAGCCAAGTGAGAAGAGTCCAGAACTTACTGAACTATATGATGATTCTCTTGAGGTTCGTATTCTAACTCTTGATATCTCCATATATAATGATACGGATATGAATATCTTCTAGGACACACTATCAAAAGGAAACTTTCGGAAGACTTCAGCTTCTGAGACACTTGATGCAAAGTGTTCAAGTGAAGTATTGAAAAACATAATGAACGAGGTGAGTACATCCCTGATCATCACATATCTTCCCCAATTTTAGAATATGGATTCTGCATCATTAACGAAATCTAAGAAGTCCATATCTGATGAGGCTAAAAAGGTTTTTGGATATAATTTCGATGTGATATGCAGTAGCGCACATTTCACATACATTATAGCCAGTAGTTTGTATTGTGAGCAACAAGTCCGAGGAGTAATATGTTTAGCATATCAACATTAACGATCAAGTCTTAGAGAACAAATGCTAGTAAAGCTTTTCTACTATCTTAATTAATGGACATATTTATGATAATTTAAATGTTAAGCAGGAGTTACAGAAAATATATTAATAAGATAGGAAATAAAAAATTAATTGTAACGAGATGGAATAATGGGTTCCTATATCTCCACCACTTGCTCTAGCACAAGACACAGCTAAGTGAGCAACCGCACTCATTGAAACAGATAATGAAAAATGAATTGTGTATGGCATGTTCTCAAGTCATTTGGGCGGTAACACAATTATGTAAATGAGGTGAATGAAGGAAATGAATTTCAAGAGTACTGCTCAATGCATATCTATATCTGTCATACAATGTATATTTATATATAAAATCATAAATAATGAAATTTAAAGTTAAAAAAGAATGAATGATATATGACGAAACTTTATAATTTCATTATTTATTGCTCAAGTATTGTCAGCTGAACATCTGATTGTATTGTAAAATATAGAAATTTCTGATGTTTTTAGAAATAGAAAATGTAGAGAAAAGAAATAATTAAAATACAATTGATTTGACGTCATCATCATCTTATAGCATAGTATATACTTTATAAAGATACTATCTGTATTGAATTCTTGGTAACTAACTATAAAAATATATTTTTAAATAGTGAATTTATAATTAACTACTTCATTATCAACTATATATTTCTGAGAAATATCATATACATACTACTCACATTTTCATTCATCTCGCCATCAACCAAACTATGTTCGAAAATTAATTTTAAATATTAAAAAAAATCTTTTTTTTTTCCCCTTTTTTTTATTAGTAATCTTATAATTCATATTTAAAATTCCTTATTTACACGAATTATAAGATTTTGAATTTTATTAAAACGATTCAATTATAAAATGAAATTTGTTTATAACAACTATCATGAGAGCTCATTCTTCTATTGTATGCAATGGATGCCAGATCTACCGCATTCTCAGAGCACTTTCCATTTCATACATCTCACCAAATCTTTGATGTTGATAATTAAATTATTTCAATTTTCAAATATATTTATGTATATATATATAGTTGCTAAAAAACCAACATTTATTTTTTTCTTTCATATTTCATTCACATTTGATCATTTGACTACTATAATCTCCATATGAAAACATAATGACCGAAGAACGAAGCATGTGCAGGCATGTTTCAAATAGTTTTCGGTTAAATACAATCAAATTTTTTTTTGTTTCACAATAAACAGAAATGAAAACTTCTTATGCAGATGTTTTACGTTTTTTTGTTTCCTTTCTTGATACAAACAGAGATCTACCCCACCTACTTCTTTCCTCCTCTCTATACCACACTCTCCACCTGTTAAACGATTTCTACTTCATTCCGCGTTTTGCTCTTACATTAATCAATGTCGCTCTCACCGACATTGTTGGTGTTTTCTTTTCACTTTCATTACTCTCCACCTAATTTTATATTAATTTTGTTAATAATCATGATGATATCATTCCGCATTACCATTTGTGGTCTCACGTTACTTTGCTCTTAGCCATCCTCAGCCTACACTATGCGGAAAATGAGTAGAAGCTTACATCTGTATGCAGCAAAGATTGTTTGTGTTTTTTTCTGTGTACCTATAGGTTTTTCATAATTCTGGTAACCTGTTATTATTTTTTTCAAACACGACTGTCTCTTTCTAAGTATTCGACATATAGAATCTACTAGGATTTTTTTTTATTATTCCCAACCCGCTTCAAACACAAGATTTTCTGTTTCATTGTCCCTCTCCACATCGCAAAATATACTTTTCTGTCCTTTTTTTTCTTCTGTCCTCTCTGTTATTTCAACTGTTGCAGTTTTCCTTCTTAATTGAAAGATGTTTTTATAATGGGTTGTGGTAAATCTCGAGTTCAAGACACAGAAGTTCAAAAAAAAGTTGAGCTGGGTAATTCTGGAGATATTGATTCGTCTAAGACAAAGCCTGACGTTCAAGTAATAACTTTTCCACGGGCTTTCAATTTTATTTCTCTCCTAGATTACTGATCAAGAGAATAATAATGTTCCTCTTGAAGACGCTGATGATTCGTATAGTAACACTCGCTTGCTCCTTTTAGGTAAGGATGAATCTATTCATCCGATGATACTGTCTTCATTTCAGGAGCTGCGGAATCCGGAAAAACAACCTTGTTAGAACAGATTCGCTTACTTTATAAACAAAATTATTCAGAAACTGAACTTTTTCACAGAAAATCTTTCACTTATAACATCATCATGCAATCAATAAGAAATTTAATCGGCATGATGAAGTCTGCTCAGAAGGAATTTGATAATCCCGAAAACAAGGTAAAATGATTTCTGATTTCTTGTTGAGACTTTGCTCGGAAAACAACTCTAGAGAATGATCATTCAAAGTCATAAATCTTTATATGCACCCAGATATTAGCTTTTCAAAAGACATAAATACCAAAATTACTTGTTTAGCAATATTGTGACGTGATTATGGAAGAGGATGAAGTTCAGTACGCATGCTTCAGATCTGACGTTGCTGAAGCAATATCAAGAGTTTGGTTAGATACAGCTGTTCAAGAACTTTATAAAAGCAGGAGTAGCATAAATCTGAATGATTCTGCAAGATAGTAAGCCTCATCATCATTAGTTTTGATATAATTTCGGACATTTCAAGTTTTCTCGACAGCATTGAAAGAATAAATAAGTTTGATTATAAGCCTACTCCACAGGATCTAATAATGAGCTACGTGCCAACCGTAGGAGTTCAGAACGTTGTCTTTCAAGCAAACAAAAAATCCTTCCAGTATGTAATAAATTGAATTTCTCGAAATATGATAATCATTTCAGACTATTTGATATTGGAGGACAAAAAATTGATCGTCGAAAATGGGCTACAATGTATGATGGCATTGACGCCATATTCTTCTGTTTAGCTATATCCGAGTATGATCAAACTATGACGGAAGATAATAATACTGTTCGTTTAACCAAAGACTTTTCTGTCGTTCTCACATCTCGCTCTCTGTGCACCAGCTTATCAGTTCCATTTCAGAACCGTCTCGATGATGCGTTATGCCTTTTGAAGAAAATAAGTGAAGAGAAAAAATTTGAAAATATTCCACTTTTCCTATTTTGTAATGAAGTTGATGTTTTCTTAGAAAAACTGCCCCACATTCCATTGAATCAGTATCAAACGGCATATTCTGGTAAGGATTACAGAAGGTTAATTCAAAACTGTTGTTTATCTATATTTACAGGTACGACAGACGAGGAAGCTTTATGTTTTGTAGAAAATTTAGCTCGTGAAGTTGTGTCATGTAGAGATCCCTCCTTGTTTTTTCCTTATCGAACAACATGTATAGATACAGATAGTATGTCAAAGATTTTGGAAAAAGTTTTCACAACCATACTCAAGGGAAAATGATTTTTGTGAGAAAATTTGTTTTTTTTTTCTCTAAGAAAATATTATATCTTTCAAGACTTTCTTCACTTTTACCTATCAGATACATGAATATTATAAAATATTTCATTTTTTTTTCTTTTTTATCAAAGTTCTGTATTGATTTGCATGAGTGTTCGACGGCAAGCTGGGCTATTGACTGGACATAGCATACTTGGCATTTTCGCCGATCCGCCGATTGTTCGTCTGACCAGGAAGTAATAGAGATAAATCAAATATGAAATAGCAAACCTCATTTTTTCATTATGAACATGATCTTTATCTTTGCTTGTCCAAAATTCGTCAACTACAGCTTCATGTTTATCAATGGATACCTGCTCAACATGAATATGAGTGTTATTAGCAACAGTCATTATTGACCAGCCATAATCATTATTTCTGAAATTAATTTTGAAAGATTTTCACACGCACATCTTTAATCATATGTTTTAATTAAATTATTCTTATAATATATACCTTGCTGCACTCCATGGCCATGGATTTCCAAATGTAGCATTGGGGGTGTGACAACCCTGGATTAAAGAAAATAAGAAAACATGTTATGACGATGTACTCACAGCACTTCCAGTTAAAACATATATTGGAGCCGGCGAATTATGCAGATATTGATCCTATAAAATCTTTTTTATTACGAAGAAAAATGGTTATAACCCACTCCAGCCCAGTATTCTTTATTGGCTATAGGCCAGTTACGCTCATAGGCATGCTCATGCCCATAGAAACCAAGATCGACACCGCTTTGTAAGAACAGACCCTCCAGCCCTGGCATATCCAACCATCCTTCGCGTACCTACAAGATGAAATGGAAATAATTCCCACACCCAAGACCAATTGCTAATGGTACACATGAATATCCCACGTGTGATCCACGTGAAATACGAACTCTTTTGATTCCAAAGTAACTCACCAGTCTGTTTTCAAAACTTTTGCATTCTGCTGAGTTATCATTACTACAATAGAAAGGCCTATGTTGAAAAATTATAAGCCAAGGGGTGTTTTCTCTGTTCTTGTTCGCATTCTATGAGAGAGAAGTTGAAATGCAATTGAAAACTCCTTAAACATGCCTGAAATTCATTTTGAAGCCAACTGTATTGAGTAAGAACAGGTTCCATTCCGTAATAATTAAACGAGCCATAATTTTCCGTACTTACTCCAACATACTGAACTGGACCGATTTGAAAACTAATAAACTTGTTACTGGAGTTTATTAAAAAGTGAATTTGAAACCTGTAAAACTGATTATCCTGATAACCGTTATCGGGCATCCAGAAACGTTTTTGATAATGAGAAAAGTTTTTTCCATCATCTTCATGATTTCCAGCAATTACCATATAAGGCATCTAGATCATTATTATGGATGATTTGCATACGCATATATATAGCTACTGTTGATATTAATGGTTCTAATTGATTCATGTAGTTGTCACCGTTCTGTCCTTTATTCGTATGTAAATCATAAGATATATCACCTTGAAATATATTTTTCCAAATAAACATTTTGAAGCTTCTTACCGACGTGAATTACAAAATCGAATTTGCCGTTCAAACCATTTTGAATTATACTTTGCGTGGAGTTGCCGTGATAGAAACCTAAATCTCCGAAGATGCAAACCTCAAAATGGTTGGTTTGTTTGATAATTTATTGATTATAAACCTTGTGCGATTGAGGATTGGCAGCTAAAGTCTTGAAATTGAAGCTTCGATTCTTAATTTGGTAGTCTACGTGAGAATATATAGAAATATGTAACATTAAGATAAAACCAACAGTATCGGGTGGATTCTTTCAGATTCGTCATCAGTGCACGGTGAACATATCGCGTAATACCTTCGAACTCCCAAACCTATGAAACAGTTATTATAGGAAAGAGCTTGTATTCAACCTCCTGAGTGCCTTTTGCGACTTTGTTCAAATTGTTCGAACTTTCACCATAGCTAACAACTGTTGTATCTGAAAACCAGAAGGTGATTGTCAACATTGCTCGACATACCATCTTCAAAAGTAATCCAACTAACTGCCATATTGCTAAAATCTCCTCTAAACGATAAATGTACCTGTTCAGGCACAGGAGTTGCCCTCACCATACAGGCAAGGGCCACTAACACAAGTGTTTGAGAAAACATTCTAAAAGAAAGAAATAACTAAAGAAATGAAACTTTAGAGACATGATGTTATGTTCAATGAGAATGAAGTTAGTTCTTAGTAATTAACGATTGATCAGAATGAGCTCCATATGTTATCGATGGTCACAAAGCGGCTTAGTCTTGGAAGATGAATGATAGTGGGTTCGCATATTGATAGCTCGAGAGTTGCTGTGACCGTTTGAGCTGTTTCTCATTGAGATAGTTCAATAGGAATGTGCTGTTACAAAACGTGTTTTCATTGAATGCATGAGTTGAGTTGAGGGGATTTGCACTTCTGAGAGGTCAGTTAATGAACTCTCCTCCCCACATGTTGCATAACAATATTGAACTTCGATCGTCTCTCTCTTGTGGGAAGAAGATGAAGAAGAAGGAGCTTGGTATTCAGAACTTTTGAACTGTTTTCCGTATCACTCCAAACACTTTCTTTATCAGTTTGACAGGAGATTATACAAGTTGCTCACTGTTCCGGCAAAGAAAAATCTGTAACAGAGAAAAGAAAAAGTGAGATAAGATGATAGTCTGTTTGTAGAAGATATCTATAAGAAGTTGCAAGAAGCAACATGAAATCAAAAAATTGAAAAATGAAAACAAGAGAGAATAAGAAGAAGAATAGGGAATATACTCAAGTGTAGGTAGGAATAGCCAATCATTCTGCCAGCCACCAATGACTAACATCTTTTTTTTTGTAGAAAACTACATGATTAATCCACGTAATTCATTTGTTTTTTTATGTTATCAAGACGATTTCAGATTGAACTGTAATTCTTATTCAAAAAAAAAACTTTTCTTAATCGTTCGTTGACATCACGAATCCGATGTTATGTCAATCTGCTGAATCTTGAAGGAAAAAAAAATTTCGAAATGATTCATTTTACTTCAATTTATGAGGTGAAAAGTGTATTTCATAGCTTATGGATAGAAGTACTATAAGACACCATTCTGTTGTGATATCCTTATGTTGTCTGTTTATTCCTAGATGATCTTCTAAAAACGCACAGCTTAAGATTCTTCAGGTCAAATACTGACAGAGGTGGGCGGAGACTCTCCATATAGGACCAAATGGTTTTCATTTCACATCGTTGTCGTCTTTGTCTTCCTCTACTCATCATTTCAATGTCTGTGGAGCGAGTATATTTAATATTCTTACTGTGTATAGTCCTTAATAAAGCTGAAAAGGTTAGTTTTGATTTTTTTTTTCAAAGTATCTCATTGTTTCGGTTTTTTTCGTTCATTCTCTCTCATTCTCAGTGTGTTGCCAATGTAGTGATCCTCAACGTATACTGAACATCTCTGACTTGTTATGAATGCTCCTTGACTTCTCTAATGAACTTAATTAACTTCCTTTTTAATCGTTTTTACGTAGTCTAAAAAATCTATTTTTCAACTTTTTTCGTCCTCCGAGGAAATGAAGACAATTCCATTCCACACAAAAGATTATCCAATAGACTTTCCTTTGTAGTCAATTGTCAATTCCTATCTTCTGTGAGAAAAAAGGAAAAAAATTTCTCTAACTAAGCGAAAAATAAGAGAACCTGGATCACCTCATTAACTGTTCTGTTTTCGGTTTTACAAAGACTTGAAGAATCCCACAGCTGCAATTCCTCCGAGTCCATATTCGACCACAACATTAGACGGCACCTGTTTTACCAGATGGTTTTGCCGATTTAACTAACGTTTCGAAATGAGTTCGAACCGAAAAACTTTTTGCTATTGGTTCGTCCAGCTGGAAGTGACAACTTGAAAATTACAGCTTGAAAGGAAAACTTCCCTCAATTCTTTTGTCCTCTATCGTTTGATGTTAGTTTTGCATATTTTGAATAAATCTTAGGAGGTGCTTTCGTCTGGAAACTTGACGTAGATGATTCCGTGTCATCGGAATCCTTTGCTAGTAAATTATAGAGATATACAGTCCAGACAATGAAGATCTTTGCATATACATAAAAATATGTTTATTTTATTGACGGCTCACATAACATAAGATTTCCGGCCTTCAGAAAAGAATCCTCTTACGCAATCATGTCATGTCATTAAACATTCATATTGTCTTTATATCCATAAAAGGAATCACTCATATTTTGTCTTCAGACATTACCAGGTAGTCATGTTGCCACATTTGAAATGAGGAATTTTTCAATAACATGGACAAAGCGACTATGCGAAGAGCCAAATGGAGGTATGATTAATCTTAAAGATACAATATGAATATCATTTTACAGATTGTTTGTATAAATTGAGAATATGTGGAGGAGTAAGCTTTCGGAAAGCTCCTATGAATAGAAACTGTCCTTATTTATACCATACTATTGATATAACACCATCTGATATTCCTGAAAATATAACCATTCCAATAAGGATACGCTGGCCAGAGGTAATTTCAATCACATTTAGCTGCATTTCTTTTTCCATGAAGCTAAGGACATTCAAAGAAATCTTAAAAGTCCTTAACACATGAGAAGCTTCTTACATTTTTACATTTTCATAACGACATCTGTTAATATCGAAAAAGATCTTTGTGAGATAGAGAAAGTTATAACATTGCGTTTCATTTCCTTTTTCAAGCATTTCATTCTTTTGCTTACATTTCTTCTTTACTTGAGTTCTCATAGATTAATCGGTACTTTTCTTTCAAGTATTGTCTACTAATCCCCACTACATTCAACTCATTTTGTTATTTGCGAACCAATTTATGGAAAACTTCATCCATATTAGCTTTTCGAGCATTAAAGAGAAATTCTGCTGACCTCAAATGATTATTAAGTTCAATTAGATTCTGACACAGCTGTGATTGAGCTCAGTGGGTGATGCAATTTTCATGACTAAACTGTCAAATTTTTGATTCGTAATTAGAAAGGTGATAGGTCATTAGTTCATGCATCATTGAGTTGCGCAGTACTGAGACATACGAAAGCATTTGCAGTCAGATCTGCAAATTTGATGAAAATTTCCATAAAAGGAAGTCTATCTTCTCTGTGGGGGGCATTCTACAGTTTCTTTCGGTTTAAAACAGAATCCTATCTTTGCCTGTCACAGATGTCATTTGTTAGTTCGTCAAATAGATAATAAGATGAAGATTAATGATGTAATCTGTCCTTATAGATTCCTAGAATTGAAAATTCAAATGAATTCTTATAGACTCCATGGCATTTGACTATCAGTTCATTAAAGAATTATCATGATATCATATTCGAGTCATCATCATTTTATGAAAAACATACAGCACTGGATAATTGGCAGATGGTTAATTTGGTAAAAGAAATCTTCAAAATTATATTTTTTGAATATTTTTTTAACAGGAATCGGAGAACGCTTTGATAAATTTTCAATTCAACATTCAATGTCAACCTTTTATGTTCGGACCATCATGTGGCACTTATTGTAACGACAAGCAACCTGAGTATGGAAAACAGCACAAGTTAAGAACTAACTCCTTATATTTCAGTCCGTTAGGAGGTCATTTCAAATGCTCGACAATAGGAGATCGTTTGTGTGCTCCAAATTGGTCAGGCACCGGTTGTAACGAACCTATTTGTTTTCAAAAATGTGTTACTGGCCAAGGAAATTGCTCACAGCCAAACGTATGCAGGTAGGATCGTTTAATAGCTCATCTTCCAATCCTTCACAGCTTGGAGATTATCGCACATCCTATGCTTATCTTTTGAGTCTCAACCTGCAAATCTTTCTAAACGAATTTTCATTTACAAAAACGGTTGATTGACTGAGTTGCAGAAAAAAAAAACTGTTTGAGGCAAAGTACATTATAGGAAAAAAGTCCATTAAAATGACTAAGATGAGAAATCATATAGCCTTTGTCTATTTGCAATACTCTGCTGAAGATGTTGTGAAATAGCTGCCCAAGGGCTAGGTGGATATCCGTTTGAAGACTTTTTTCAACTACTGAATGCGGAGAATTCAAAGAAGTTCAAATTATCTTCACTAATCTTTTTGAAAGTGTAAAATTTTAATTAAAAATTTCGAAGATTCTTGAAAGATAAGAAATGCTCGAAGTTGAAATACCATAAACTGTTTTTTCATTTCAAATTGAAAAGATTCTTTGAGAAGATTAACAAGTGAATCATTTGTAAAGGTTTGTTATAACCGGATGTGCAATATTTCGATGAATATCCTTTTTTAAACATCTCAAATCTAAGTTAGTCTTCATTTCAATCGCATATTTACAGTTGCAATCGAGGATGGCAAGGGGCATCATGTGAGCAATGTATTCCATTCAGAGGCTGTCAACATGGATACTGTAACCAGCCTGGAGAATGTATTTGTCATGAGCATTGGACAGGAACAGCTTGTGACGTGTTAGTTTTGTTTACAATCTTACGAAACAAATATCTTCCGCTACCAACATGGAGGTTGTTCATTCCGTCAAAAACGTGGAAATTATTCTAATTTTTCTCGAACTTACTGCTCGCTCACGTCAATTGTCTTTTCATTTTCATTTTGTTGCGTGTAGTTGGCGGTTGATGCGAGTCAAACAAAAGAAAAAAAAATGTTTTTTCTTATTTTCATTTTTCAGTGAAATAGACTACTGTAGGCATCATGCGGGAGTTTGTCTGAATGGAGGAACATGCTCGTCTAATGGAATGGAGAATGGATATTACTGTAATTGCACTAACGATTTCGATGGGCCTAACTGCGAACAAAAGGTAGAAAATTTATCTTTTGAACATCATAATGAAAATATTGTTCCAGAAAGACTTATGTGCTCAGTTTGATTGTGGTACAGGATTATGCGTGATTGAAGCCGATCGACCACGTTGCTACTGTCCAGCAAATACAATCGGACCGTTCTGCTTAGAAATTGAAGAAAGATTTAAAAGTAATATTGTGCAAACATCAGGTGTGGTGATATAATTTGAATGCTGCATGAAAACAGTGATAGTTCTTTCAGCAACACAGTTTATCTGGTCTCACACTTTGTCTTCTCTTCTTTCCTTACTATGCCTCATATTTGGTTTAATCAGCTTGTTAGCAGGTTTTTACTACTTACATCGTAAGGTAACTGATGATTTCATGTTTCAAAGCACAGTACTATTTGATTTTCAGAAGTTTGCGTCGACAGACGAAACAATCGAATGCGGATTATCAGTTGGCAAGCTGTCTGATAGTTCAGGTATGGGTATTAGCTTGAATCTGATTATCATTTTTACAGATGCAGATCCACCGCCGAGCTACAGTTTATTAGATTTATCCGAATCACGAATATCACCTGATTCTAGAAAATATCTATTTCCATCAACAACAGTTTAAACATTTCATTTCTGATAATTGAATTCCTACCTCAAATATCTTGTCATTAAAAAGAAAAGTAGAAAAGAGCTTATAATTCTAATGTGGTTATTGTACCTTACAAAGACGGGTGTTCCATAATAATTTTCAAAATATTTGTATTACGTACTTACAATAAATATATTTTCACAATTTAAGTCTTCTCGAAATGTCTTAAAATGAAACATAAATTATCGAATTAGATGTGATGACGAAGGAGATGCTGAGTTGTTGAACTTCTTTGAACTTTTCCGAAAATGAGGTACTTTCCGCGAAATACTTTCCGACAAAAGAGACATTCATCTTGAAAGAAGAGTGTTGTCGTTAGTTGAAAAATCCGTTTTAGTGGTCTTTTAGAATGGGAATCTTGATTGAGGTGTCATCAAGATGATTCTTGCCATGTTTATTGTGGGTCATTAGATGATCACCTGTTGCCAGATATTTCTAATTTTCCATGTCCTCATGATGAGATTAAGTCATTAAATCATATTATATGTCATAACAGCGATAATACGAAAATTATTAATGGTTAAACGATGAAAAACAGCTGACAGTGATGACCAACAGAGCATAATCTGCCTCAAGACATATTAGAACAGCAGGACAAGCGAGAATTCATCCTATTAGCTAAGCATACGATGAACAGGACATTACCTGTCATCTCCATAATTATGACGTCATCTAATTGATGTGAAAATGGTTGATTAGGTAAGTTTATATTATTGAATACGGTACAAATATGTTTTTTTTCACAGATATAAATTAATACAATTACTTTAATTGTCATATGATCCTAATAACCAGAGTGCTGCCATCATTGTATAGTAATGGGTCATCAACCTGCCTCACCTGCTGAGAAAATCAGAAGTTTAAGATGAACTATTGCCAAAGAATTGTATTACTATCCATGTTCTAGTAATGCCTATATGTATTCAGCAATCATTATTCTCATGTAATTGACTCATTAAAAAATTTGTTTTCATATCGCTGAAATATTCATTAAGCGATTTAGCGCAAAAGGCTTCACACAAAAGTGAAAAGCTGGTAGCGGCATCTTTGAGCTAGCAATACGAGATGTTCGACCTATCGGAAGCCTTTGAAGAAGCTTATGGTAAAATATGGGTGATGAACTGAGCAGCACATGGATACAGTTGCTTCTGACCTTATATAGAGATTGTATTGCAGTTGTACGTAAGAAATATCATCAGAAGCTTTTGTTCATCTATTTACATAGATGTTTGTTCAATAATTCTTTGCAACTGTCAGCTGGATTGTCGGTTTCTTTGGTAATACATGTAGTTGTAGCAGAAATGTAAAAAATTGAAAGACAAGATGATACAAGTAAGGCAAATGTTATTGTAAGTATTAGGCTTCTCCTCAACCAATGCGTTTTTCATCAAAAATAACCGCTGAGATTATTATATTTCAAGCGGTTGACTTCTTTTCCTTCAATCCTTTTTTTCTTAAGCGGAGAAAATCATTCAGAACCATTTTTTCATTCGATAACTGTCACTAATATTACAGCCCATTGAGCAATTATGTGTTTTAACATGCTGAACTACCTTTACTAAAAAAGCTCCTTACCGCAAAAGAGGACAATCGCTCACAACAACAGATGGTTCCAAAAAAAGTATCTCAAGCCTTGGAGCTAAGTTTTCTTTTTTTTTACTTGTATGAATCAAAAAAAAAGGAGAAAAGGATGAAAAGTTTGCAAATGAAAGCCAATGGCGGATTGATGAAGGGAATCCTTGTTTTGTAACTGACCTATGGTATGCCAAGTTCTACTTGATATGCGTGAGCAACTTATAACAATACTCTATTCTATCTTCTTTTAATCCAATTCAAGTGACTCTCATAATCATCTTTGTCTCATTTTTTACTTCCTTTCCTTTTATCTTTCATGTTAACCTAATAAATGCTAGTTGACCGACACCTTATATGACTAGCTACTCTAGTAGCCGGCTATTGCATAATCAAGTGCCTTTCCAGATGGCGCAACTGGTGACGATTGTCGGATAAGTTCAAAGTGGTGAAGCCTATTAACCTGAAGCCTTTTATGGCATTGAGTACTCTTACAGCCGAGCTATTTGTGGTAAACGATAAACGAAAATAAGCTAATTACGCAAAATCGAGATTTTCTTCTCAAGGTTATGCCTGACATGAATCTTCAGCTTTCTGACCGCCATTCATTCAAACTCCCACGTCCTTAACCAAACTATCTCTTCAATCAAACTGTGATTTCAAAACTTCTCTTTTTCATATCTTAGCATCATTACTCACCCAGTTCTTAATAGAAATCGTATATAGTTACGAAACACAACTTCTGGAACGTTTAGAAAAAATTTTTACATAGCCCTCTTGCAAATGAACGTTTCAACAAAAAAAAGATAGAACACAACCGCTCTTTATGCTTACATCAAAAGAAATGAACTGAGTTCATCCCGGGGACACTGCTACAGCGAACTGTTGTTCCTCAACTGTCTGCTAGTAATGAGATACGCGATAACTATAATTCAATATCATATTACGAGTTGTCACTTTTTTGCGAAAATTGTAGTATTTCATCGAATTTACAATACTTCATATCAATTACACTCGTTAAGGTCTTCGAAAAAGTAAGGTTATGGGCGTTATTTGATCATAAAACAACTTTAACCTCTCCAATCATAATCCTAAATGATCTGCTGTTCGGATTATTCGACGTCTAGCTGTGCTTATTCAAGCAAAATACTGCTTGTCTATAAGTATACGGTAATGAGTCAACAGCCGGATGCAGGTGGCTGGTAATTAGCTAAGAAAACACTACAAGCATTGAATCATCCATTATTTCATAATAAGCTGATTCCCAATTAGCTTCTCCATTTCCTCTCTTAAATTTTCCATATATGGATCATCTCATTTACACGTAGACCACGTTGAACAATACTCAGTATAATGCTTCAAGTACTTGACATTCTTAAGTACTCAAACTAATTATCTCATTGAATTGGTTTAATCAAAATTGTTGAAAAAATGTTCTCATAAGCTGAAGCTTATATGTGATGAGCTTCGAAAAAAAACGGAAACTGCCATAACTCATTCAACTTGATGTGTAAATACGAACCAATCTTGTATTTCGGTGAATATGTTCATCTGTCACATCCATAACCTCTTATGCTATTTAGACTACAATACTCAAAGCTGGTCTATTCAATACTTTTCATAAGCTTCTCAAGAATTTTCTTACAATTTAAATCTTTTGTCTTCATTGTTTAAGGCTTACTTGTGTCATGTCATCCTTGCTTATTGTCTCCAGTATTTATTTCCCACGCTGGCACCAAATGGGCGGGGCGGAGGTTCCGGGAGAGGCGGGGCTACTGATGGCTTGCAATGTTGTTTCATGGCTATTTCCACCTGCTGTCCGTCTACCAGCCGGTTTGGTTCTCTAATTTTAATTAGTTCGTGTTCACTAAGCTTCATTAGAACAAGGATTACACGTCCAATGATTGTGAGTTGTTTTTTTTATTATTTTTTTTTATTCTGCACGAACGCCCGCATATTTTACTCAAGTTGTTTTTTTCAGATGTTCACTTTATCTTCGTCGTATCAGGATAGCGGGTATAATAGCCCATGCTCCCCATCAACGTCAACAAGTTTCGACACACCGTTCCGATCTCAAAGGATTGCCGGTGTCATTAGAAGAAAATTGGATTTTTCTGCTTCTCCGACAGCCAAAACAGTAAATGTTGCCACCCAAACAGGTAAAAATTTATTTTTATAGTTTATGTGACCACCATGCATTGCTCTAATGGCTAGTTCTTAAAACAGTTTTGATATTCATGACCATTGCATCTTGAGTAATTCCTTTGATTTGCTTTTTGTTTTACCGACTATGAATTGGTAACTGAAGTAAAGACTGTACGAATTGCGTGTTATGAAAACAGTTTTTCTCTTTACGGCAACACAAAAGCTTTTTTTTCATAAAATTCTTCTGCTCTTTCTCTTTGCTAATCCCTCAAACACTTTCATGATTCTTAAATGAGAGGGATGTTGTTAAATGAAGAGGAATAAGCTGTAATATGAGTGCATGACATCTCTTGTTAGTTTTTAAAAGCTACTAATTATCGTGACCTTAGCCTTGTTTGGCATAGTTTTTTCGACTCAGAAATGTCTTATAATCAGTTTATTTTTCAGTTTGCATGGATCTGAGATGCCAAAGGATAGCTCGACGTCTTTCATTCCTTTGTGATGAATTCGATAGAGAATACTTTCAAAAGAAAGAGGTAAGCGAATTTAAATTATGAATATCAATCACATTACCTTCCTATACAATATCCATTACCCTTTCATGATTTTAATTATTTAATATATTTTAATTTGCATATTGAGCATAATTAAGTCAATGTTGCCTTATGTATCTGTGCATCAAGTTTATATATAAATTGCGAACAATACATCCGGGATTAGACAAAACGAAATAATAGCCTTATTAGGATGATGAGTGTGTGTATGTGTGTAATCATCTCAAAACATCATGTATTCATTATATTTCTCTATCCTCAACTCTGCTAGCTTACCGATTCATCTTTACCATCTGCCTTCTCGTAGTTGACCAGGACTGAATGAAAGAGCCTCAAGCATAACAGATATACAGAGCTGCATTCTGACCTTGGAATCAACTAAAGGCGCTTTTGTACGTCATTGACCATCTTTAGACCTTTTGAATGTTCATATTGACTGTATTACAAGTACCGGAAAATGATCAAAGAATCTAGCTATAGTTTGTCCTTTGATCATATTGTCTAAATAAGGAAATACTTGAGGTTCGCTTCCATATTTAGCGCCTTATATCCCTCTCAATCTCAAATTGAACTCTATGAAACAGCCTTTCACGAATCTAATAAAATCTTTTTTCAGGAATGCCCTTCTTACTTCACTCTGAGGATTCTGGAAAATGTGATCAAACTACTCTTCTAGTTCCGGCTACAGAGAAACTATGCCAAAACTGCTATACCATCTATGTCATTCAGAAATTGTGCAACGAATCGCCTTTTTTTCTTTTTTTTTGTTCAATATGTACATATTATAGAATAAATCTATATCTATATAAGTCTTGTCTTATGATACAGTTTCCTTACTTCTTCATACACTTAAACAGATTAAGCTGTCAGTAAGTATACTTGATACTCAATCTCAACTATCTGTGCAAATAATCTGTGCAAGCTTTAGGTTGACAAGGTTGAAAAATTAGGAATATCCTTGTCACCTTGGCATATCCACCTGTGTCAACAACAGTTCAGAGGTTGGGAGTCTCATTAAGCAAAAAGTTTGTGAATGACTGTCGTTTTTAGACAGATGCATGAGATATAAGTTATCATTTAATTAGAATTTCATAGAATCATCATATATTTGAGTAGATTGAATAACATCTCAGCTGTCACCAACATACCAGACATTCAACAGGAAGATATGCTGTGCAATAAGAAGATTAGCACCTGTATACAGCACATGTCATTTAATAGCAACATATGTAAAAGTAACTCTCATTCAGAGTATCGTATTTACTATAATCCCATAATAAATATTTTTCTTTAATTCATTCACATATCTGAATGTGAAAAGCCTTGGGCACTCACAACATGTCTCTTCTCTCTTTTTGCAGACTATGAACTCTTTTTTCCAAAATGAATCACCACATTCGAAATCAATCAACTTTTTTTTCGGAATCGTTTACTCATTTCTCTTACAAATTAATCTTATTCCATTTTTCTGTTAGAAAAAAAGTCGAAAAAAACGCCTCAGGGGTTATGTGCCATCTGACTCTGCTCATGGTATAATCACATATGGATCAAAGCTTGACTTCAAGAAAACTATCTCAATCTAATGTATACAGCTGCTTCTTTTTCAAATGAATTTGTTTAGATTATCAAGAACTATTCTGGCATATCCCGTTGATTTATTTTACGACACATGTGAAGAAACAAAAATTTTCGCTTTCGTTTCGAAGGATATCCTTTCATCTTGCACCTTCCATGATATTTATGTTTTCTTAATGGCTTTATTTAAACAATTAGCAACATTTCATTTGGAAATATATGAACCCTTTTCCGTCCAAAATGCAACATTTTCCAAAAACACTTTTCAATTGTCTAACAGACTGTATACCAAGTGTTGTCACTCAATGAAAAGGATACAATCCTACAAGAATCAAGCTCTTGACACTTCATCCATTCTGTTATATACACGCATTCAGACAGTCAAGCAGGCTTAATGAATTCAGAGCAACTTGTCAACAGCCATTCCGTTATAGCTCCTTTGACGATCATAAACTAAAAATTACATCGGCTTCCATATTGAATCATCAGCTGTCTTCTCGGCTCAAAGTACAAAGGAGCCGCCATATCTGCACCCCTTGAGACATGATTACCGTAACCATTTGGGACATATCGCACGCGACAGACGTTAATTCCAAAATAACGTCGCTTCATCTTTGTTCTCCGTTCATTATAACCGTAAAAAAAGATAGTAAATAAAGAAAATTATGTCGGAAGCACTTAATTGACTTACCGGATTGCATAATTCACAATAGAATAATATTGCCTTTCTGCTACTGTAAAGTAGGTAAGGGGAGTACAACTAACATGAAGCCATCACAAAAAAACAAACTCAAAAGAAAGGAAAAATCTCATTTATATATTTATATTTCCTCCTTAGCTAGTTCAGCTATCAAAACCCCTCTTCTATTCTTTCTTAGGAGGAACGTTTGGCCGCGTGCCACACGTGCCATATCCGTTGAACCATATTTCATCGTTTTGCTCTTAATGGCCTAGGTTTGATGAATGACTATACTGTCAACTACCGATTTCCATATTTAGCATAATGCCGCTCAGTTTCTTTAGTGATCTATTGTGTCATGGATTGGAATCTTGCATAATAAATGGCAGAATAAAATTAAACAAAAAATTGTTTGTGTTTACGACATGCGCGACTAGTTTCATTGGTGACAACTATTTCAAAAATATCACAAAACATACTCTATCTGGTTTGAATCATAAAGAACAACTAGTCAGAATGACTAACAGCTTCAAGTAATATTCAATTAATTCGATAAGTAAATGAAAATTTAATACGGAAATGAGATTCATATGTAGTCATCTGGAAAAATGAAGAGTAAATAGTAAGATCACTCTATACACGAGATGATAGCATAGCTTAGCACCTGCTCTCACATCAAATTACAATGCGTTCATTAGCTCTAACTAACTGTTCACGTTACAATAGGGAGAAGCATACCGGAAGCTCGAGAAACAGGACTTCCGTATTCCGGTCAATTTCGCGCATTCAACAATTTCCATTATGAGATATTATCCATTAATGAACAAGTACAAGCACTGCTGTCCAATTACGTATAACAACAACGTCAGAACAATAATGGGCATCCTCACACCTGCAACTTATTGAGAGAGTGCTGCAAAAGAAGATATTCCAGACAGTAATGAACCTTGAAGTACCAAGCCAATGGAGCTATAAGTTCCTCATAAGCCTCAATAGTACTTGTTAAACTAGTATCGAAAACACCCAAATGAGGAAGAAAACAAAGACTCATTCATATCATTATCTCTTTCATTCTTTTCTTTATCATTGAAAAACCAATGTAGAGCCTGATCCAGTGAAAAACAATACTCTAAAATCCGAATCATACTAAGTAATACTAAGCTTATATGTAGAGATATCATATTGCTGTTTTCTATTTGTTTAACCAACTGATGTGCATATTTGCGATTAACTTTATTATTGGCTGATGTGCATCTAGATTGACACCTAATCATGCAACATTATAGAAATGTTATTTATACTATTGTAATGCGCCAAATACTACAAGACAGCTTTATAAATATTGAAATAAATCAATTAGTTAGAGAACATCTCATGTATTCCATGATGTTCGTTTTGAAAATTAGCAGAATGAAAAGATGACCTAGAGAACTCAAGACATCTTATTTACGTAAGCGCAAGGAGCGGTTGCTTTTCGATGAAACTATATAGTCTGTAGAATGCTCATACCGCTCCTTGAATATGAACTTTTGAGATATGTTTGTAGTCCCGAAAATCTAAGTAATCGATATGCTCACTCTTGTCATTCCTGTTTTTTTTTGTTTCAATGTAGTTACTTTAAACAGCGTACTGTTTCTATCATATCTTCAGCTCATAATATACAGAGAGAGCATACATATGCTAAACACAGCAGTTTGACCTTGTCTTGAAAAAATTCCAAATTAGTATAATTATTCAGCATGAACTTCTGAATAATTTGCTTTCTTGAATATCTAGCACCATTGTTTATCTTGCGGAAAAATGAGTTTTTAGCAAATTGAGCCATGTGCAGAAACAGTTTTGTTATTACATTTTCATTACATTCTTAGATTTGTTAGTATAGTTTTTTTTATTTTTTTTTGTTTTTAATGAACCGCCAGATACTATCGAAGTTTTTAATCCCAGAGTGAATAAGAACTGTTTCAGGTTGGCGTAATTCCAGCATAAAATAGTGGGTGAAGAATGAGCAGCTTGCCTGATATCACTTTTGCTGAAACTGTAGTCCTAACCGCTGATCAAGGCACCTCTGGTATTACAGGATAGCAGCAATAAAAGACGTTGTGTTTTCAGAAAAAACCGTGCATGGCTGTTCAAATTTCTTTATCAGAAGCGGTGTAGATGAATTCAACCCGGCAGGCGAGGATAACAAGAGTAACAACTTCTCTCTGAGCTCGTGCAAAATCGAAGCTTTCACTGCGTATCGGAAGAGGAACTTAGAAATTGTACAAAGTCTTGCTTCGTTTTTCTCTGAGTATGATAAGATATTCTGTTGATCAGGTTTCGCCATATTCATTTTATCATACTAATTGTAGAATAGTTAACATACTATTAACACGGTGACCCTAGCCATCATATCTATCAGTTTCTTAGAAGCGTCTTATAATTATGAAGTGAATCATATTATTTTAATGTTCGTATATAATGATATCATGAATATTCTTTCAGACCTTTTTTTCTTCTCTAAATCTGCAAAACTAGCACAATCAGCTGCACAGTGATATCTGTGGACCATGTTTTTCAGATGTCCGTACACCAGGATTTCCCCGCTGTATAAGAGAGAACTGTCGAGTTTCATTTTTCATCGGGAAAAAAAAATTCACGGTCTAACTTTTCATTTTCATTCTTTCTACCAAAGAAAGTGAGCGGTCGTATATCTGGTTCGCAGCGTTTTTTCCTGAGGTGCAATTATTGTTGTTCCCCGTTCTTTTGTTTTATTAGTTTCGTTTCAAAACTTCATCTTATAATCCTGAGCAATCCAGTAGTACTGATTTTACAGAGTCAACGTTACAATAAGAAACATTGCTACATGTTTTCACATTTTCAATTAATGCTTTTCATACTGGTTATATATCCTCTTTTAAAAACGAAAATATATTGTTCTTGGAGTGCGTGCGACTTGTACTGATGGATCGAGTATAAGAATTTCCTATATATTATAACTTCAATACACTTTGTTTCCATTTCATTTAGTTTTCTAATCAACGATACTTTAATAATCAAGAGTTGGACTAATCAAAACAGTCAAAGCGCATTCTTGAAACTCATACTTTCCAAGTTTCATTCAAAAGAGATAAAAGCGCGCGATTAGTAACCTGTAGTTACTGACATCTACAAAAATCTCAAATTTTCTGCTGATCTATAAAAAAATTGATTAAACTCAGAAACTAATGAACTTGAAAATTGGAAATGACAAATAAGTTCGTCGAATTTAGTATGCTTTGGAGAGCAAGCATTGAGAAAAGTGTTGATGATCGAAATAGGGTTTTGGTGCGTTTTCTCGTAAGGTCGCAGAAAAATACAGCAGGCTCTCCAGTACCTCTACTAGTACAACTACCTTTAGACTAATTGATAATTCCGAAAACAACATATGTTTTCCCATGTTGAAACGCCTGGAAGTTGCTCGTTTAGTTTCTTATAGATGGTCAAGCAATGAAGCTCAGAGGTTAAGCTGATGCTTTTTCCCAAGCTCATCATATTGTTTCAGGTCGTTCGACGTCGATTTAGTTAGTTTGAACTATGCCAAAAGAACGGAATGGGCTGCTGCAAACTTTGGAAATTCTGGTGTGAATGTTTTTAGAAGTATATGATAGATTTTTCACAGGTGAACCATATCGCATGGTCCTACCGCCTCCTAATGTAACAGGAAAACTTCATATTGGACATGCTCTAACTGTTGCTGTAGAAGATTCTATTTGTCGTCATCAACGAATTCAAGGAAAAACTGTTTGAAATTCATATAACTAGATATTTATCAACAAATTTCTTAGGCAGTATGGACTCCCGGCTTCGATCACGCCGGCATAGCTACTCAATCAGTGTTCGCCAAGGATCTGTGGAAAAGAGAGAGAAAGCTCCTAAGCGATTTATCAAGGGAAGAGTTTCTCGCGAAGTGCTCGGATTTTTCCATGAAGTAAGCGAACATGAAGTTGTCTTACAACTATATAATCTTCAGAAACGCTGATGTAATATCTACGCAGTTAAAGCGAATGGGTGCTACTTTGGATTGGGATAATTCTTATTATACCATGAATGAGGTATCTAAAAAGTAATTGTTGAGTACACAATAAAAGATTCAGAAGTTTTCATCGGCCGTCACCAAAGCTTTTATGATTCTGTACAACGAGAAATTGATCAAACGAGATAAACGCATTGTTCAGTGGTGTCCGATGCTCCAAAGCTCTTTATCAGACCAAGTTTGTCAGTTTTCATAGATTAAAAAATGATCGAGCGTGTTTGCAGGAGGTTGAAAGAGTCGATATCAATGCTGATCAATCTTTAACAGTCAAGGCTTCTGATGGAACGACGAGAGTTGTTGAAGTTGGAGTTATGCATAAAATCAAATATCCATTAGCTGACTCGCTTGACACGTTTGTATCTAATAAAGTTAGTTACATGATCAATTATTTAGTTTTCTTGAAGTGGGAACTACTCGTCCCGAAACAATTTTTGCCGATGTTGCTCTCGCTGTTCATCCTAGAGACAATAGATATTCTAAGTTTGGATTATATTTTTTACGCCTAACTACTTCTCGTTTAAGGTTTATAGGTAAATTGGTGAAGCATCCTATTTTGAGCGACCGAGTTCTTCCTGTCATATCAGATGAAAGTGTGAAGCCTGAGAAAGGAACAGGTAACATTTGTATATATAGAAAGCTCCCACCGATCTTTTTTCGAGGAGTCGTAAAGATCACTCCATATCATGACGCTCTGGATTATGAAATAGCATCCAGGCATTGGAAAGAAATTTTACAAGTTGATCCATCCAGTTCAAATCGGTAAATAAAATCTAAAATTGACTAATGTCGTTGTAATCTAGTCACTGTGTTAATGATAATGGAAAGCTGATCAATGTTCCTTCTGATTATCATGATCTGGATAGATTCGATGCAAGAAAGAAAATTGTTCAAAACTTATCATCTATTTCGCTCTACGGTGGAGTGATCAAGCATGATTCAGCTCAAGTGAGCATCTGTTCACGCACTGGTATATGTTTTATAACTATTTTTCACAACCGTATGTTTAAGGAGATATCATTGAACCTAGGCTAACGGAGCAATGGTTCCTTGATACACGAGATATGCATAATGAACTCGAATCAGATTTAAGACGAGGCTTGGTTTTTCGAAAAATCTGAAGCTTTGTCATTTGGAGCTTTTCAGATCAAAGTAACACCAGGATTTCATGAACAACGTCTGATGGATTGGCTAAGCAATGTGGAGCCGTGGTGTTTGAGTCGTCAAATACTGTGGGGTCATCGTATTCCAGCGTTCACCTCAAATGGGTTTTAGCAGTTTGGGTTTCAGTTTTTTTCATTTCTGTTTTTCAAGAAGTAATTGGACAGTAGCAGAAAACATAGAGAAAGCTAAGCAAATTTTGAATAGCGATGATGTGAGACAGGATTCGGATGTACTAGATACTTGGTTCAGGTGGGAATTGTTTTGCTTTGATATTTTATCGGAGTTTAGCTCTTCGTTGGTTCCTCTTGTAACCACTGGATGGATGGAAGGCCAAACATATAATAATGTGCCTCTCCATATAATGGAAACTGGATGGGATATTCTGGGATTCTGGGTTGTTAGAATGCTCATTCTCACCAAAAAGTAAGCAGTACAAGAAACATCATAATATTGTTCTCAAATTAGACTTACAAACCAAAACGCTTTTCCACAAGTTGTACTTCATGGACTGATTAGGGATTCAAATGGACGAAAAATGAGGTATGCTAATAGATTTACTGACTAGTATAGTTTTGCTTATAGCAAATCACTAGGTAATGTGATTGATCCCTTGGATGTCCTGGACGGCATCACTAAAGAAGAAATGATTCTAAGACTCAAAAGCAGTTCTTTATTAGAGAAAGAAATAGGTTTTTGAAAAAGACATAGATTTGTTTGAACTTTTAATTAGAAACTGGAATATCAGAAATAGAACGTAAACATCCAGAAGGTATCCCTAAGTATGGAGCGGATGCTCTTCGATTTGCTTTATTCAAACACGATGTCCTGTCAATGGATATTCCTATCAACATTAGTGAGACAGCTGGAGAGGTACATTCATATCGGGATGTTCAAACTACTTCCATCGTTCAGGGTTATCGCTTTTGTAATAAGTTGTGGAACCTAATTCAATATGCAGAGTCTGTTAACGAGAAATGTAAATCGTCGAGAGAATACGATTCGGATCATCCAGCTGTACCCTCTCTTTTCATATAACAATTTACTTGATGGTAATTTAAGGACCTTTGGATTTTGTCTCGATTAGCATCGACTCTGTCGGAAACGGATGACCACATGTCAAACTTCTCACCTCATTCAGCATTTAATACGCTTTACAGGTTTATCTTGACAAATATATGTGATGTTTATCTGGTAAGTCAATCAGCATGATTTCCTTATTATTATGCTCGTCAAGGAGTCAACCAAAAAAGATATTTGGAGTGATAACACACTAAGACATGAAGAGATCCGTACGACATTAACGCGAGTTCTTCAACCTACATTGGTTCAACTATCTGTATTCCTACCATTTGTGTCTGAACATTTGTATGAAAGATTATTTAACCGCGAAAAGGGCTCGATATACTTCGACTTTGTGAAAGTAAGCATTTAAGTTTGGGCATGATGAGATTCCCGATTACAGGCTTCATATTTCCAACTACATAGAGATGATGATTTAGAAAATCAGATGAACCTGGCTCTCTCTGTAGTCTCCTCCGCTCGCTCTGTAAGACAACAACTTAATCTGCCCAATAAGCTGGTGTTTGACGGTAAAAATTGAATTCAAAAAACGGAAAGCCCCTCATTTTCAGCGATTCTTTTCACCGGCAGACGAGATATGAACATGATGAAGAATGTTATATCTGATCTAGGAAATGTAAACATTGTAAAAATTTGTGACAAAGACAATGCAATACCACAAGGATATATGCCTTCATGTCTTGCAGGCTTTGATGATCGCATAGCTCTCCGAATAGAAGTTTTCGTAGTTTTTTAAGAACATTCTTATAATCCTTCTGTTTAGAAAGAACACGAATCTGAATTTATGGCTCGATTAACACGAGTTTTGGAAAAAGCCGAGGAGAGAAAGAAATCGTTTGAGTCTAAAAGTCGCAAGTACGAGGAGATTGTGCTGAGAGATGAAAAGGAGGGAAAAGTGAACTATCGTTTTTTAACCATTACAAAGAGAATATTATTTTAGGTCAAGCAGAATGTTATAGAGAAATCTCGCAGAAAAGCATCTCAGGCTAAGAATGCTGCTTCCTCGGCAGCCACTGAAGCAGAAAAGATAAGGGCTCTACTCGAAGATCTGAAACATAGCTAGGATTACTAGGAATATCAAATATTTTATCTTGTTATAGTGATTGTTGTTTGTTGTTTTATACTTGTGTTTAGAAAAAGATTAAAATTTAATAATTTTCTATTTTTTTAAACAATGGTACGGGCTCCTCATATCGAAACATCTTCTGAAACTATTCCTACATTTCGATTCAGATGGATAACATAGAAGGGACCGAATGGCTGGTCCTAATATCCATGATGATCAACTTGCTAATGGCTCCCGGGACAAAAGTAGAGGTTCGATCTTTCTCTCTTCTTTTCTCATCTTATAATTTGAAGGAAAGTTTCAATGTTCAAGCCACACATGATCTCATTTACAACTCGTATAACTTGAGCAACGTTAGACTTAAGAGATTAAACATTTTAAATAGTGGCTTTAGTATGACCATAATGATTTTCCTGGAGTTGTGCCAAGAACATTTGCCGGACCCTTATATTTGGCTTCGTTCGGCATTCCCCTCAGAATCATCATGTATCTGGGAACTATACCCAAGTTTTGGATGTTGTTCTTCAGTAAAATATTAGGATGGGAACGCTTTTATTGAAGATAATTTGTAGTTCGATTCGTACTGGGAGCAACCAATGTTCTAGCCTTCTTGAACTTTGCCCGTTGCATTAGGAAACATTTCGGAGAAGAAGCTGCCACGTTCCTAAGGTTTCCAGATAGTTATATGAACTCTAAGCTGACACCTTTACTTCAGAATCATCGTAGCTTCCCAATTCCATTTCATATTTTACTGCTCCAGGCCTCTGCCTAATACTTTTGCTTTAGTTTTTGGTAGTTTTTTTCTTTTTTTCTCTAATCAAATGGTTCTTTACAGCTCTGGTAGTTTATCAAAGAATCCTTGATGAACGCTATGAGTCTGCAGTCAGATGGGCTACAACTGCCACGATCCTTTTCAGGTCTGTTTTTGGAAGAAAGCTTTGAAATGTTACGCTTCAGGTGTGAACTCGTCCTTCTGTTTGGTCCCATGTTTATTCCCATCATTTTATCTGGAAAACTCCCTTTGTTTGGATTTCAGGGAGCTTTGTTCACAGGCTTAAAAGCAGCTCTGAAAGCTTTGTGTGAGTTGACCGATGTTTCATTTTATCTCAATTTTTAGTCATAACTGTTCCGATCGATTCTCTTTTATGGGGAAAACTCACATGGCCAGAAGCCGAAGTAGCTTGGTTTAATATATTTTTGAACAAAAGTCATGAATATGGGGTGAGCAGTTTGATTTTTGATAACTATTGGAAATGATTGAGTTCAGGTTCAACCTTTCTTCTGGTATTTCTATAGTGCTTTACCAAGAGCACTCTTGGCATCTACTTTTCTCATCATATTAGGTCCTTTGGTAGACCGTCGACTCGTGCGTATTTTGTACCCAACCCTGTGTTTTGTCCTTCTTTACAGTTTTCTCCCTCACAAAGAGCTCAGGTATAATCTTATCTCACTACCGGAAGTTTGCTATTTAATTTTAGATTCATCATTTATGCATTCCCTATGCTGAACGTTTCAGCAGCTGTGTTCTGGGCTAGAATGTGAGTAAACATGAGTAAATTAGCATTCATTATTCTTCAGGTACATTAATCGTAGTAAATCTTGGCTTAGATTATTTTTGTATTGGGGATGCTTATTGCATTTGTTTGCCAATATAATTGCGACTGGTGTGTTCATTTACACAGCCTCAAGAAACTATCCTGGAGGAGATGCGATAGGCCATCTGCAGGTAAGCTTGGATATATATATACATGTATATCTACTAACTATAATTAGTGGACTCAACGAATCGATGGTAACAAACCGATGACTATGTACATCGACAACGCTTGCGCTCAAACGGGTGTGAATCGCTTCATGCAGCTATACGATACCTGGGAGTTTGTAATAGATATCCTTACAAACTGATAATAGTGTTTAAGATACAACAAAACAGAATCTTTGAAGCCTGAGGATATGGAAAGATTCGACTTTCTTCTTATTGGAACTTACGGATCTAACTTGAAAGAAATGGTTATGAAGAACTATACCACATGGCATCGAGTTATGTTTGCTGTTTCGTCTTTCCATAGATTTTCGTTGAAGTAAGTTATATTTATGTCTATTTCTAAATTTATCAATTTGAAGGAAAACAAGCGGGTTCCCATATTATTTCCCTGAGTTGCAATTCAAGGAAAAGGTGGCAGTTTTGCGAAAGAAATAACGGATTATGGCAACTGAATTTTGACCGGCAATTGTTATTCTTTCTTTGGAATTTTGTTTATATTAAAGCTCTTTTCCATTTGTGTGATTTCCTTTATGCATGATACCTTCCCCAAATGTTAAATCGAACCAAAGCATATCAGGATACCCAAATCACTGAGAACATGCAGGAAGGTAATTATACCTGTTCAGGCTTTTCGTTCAACAAACGCAGGTGCTACTGGTCCTAATCTTCTTTGATGATATGAATCTATTCGCATAATCCTATGATTGAGCTTTAAAGGAGAGCTCACTTATAATGAACGTCCGCTACAACATCTGGCTAATATTAGAGCGATGAACAACCGTTCAGGGCGCTACAAATTTGAAAATAAATAATTTCTGATCATTGGTTCACGTAGTACCATGAGGGTTAGTAATTACGTCACCAAGCTTCTGGCAACAATATACGAAAAGGCACAGTTTGCTCATGCATCGTCTCATCTCTCATCTTGAGTTTCGCTACATCAAAAGCTAATTGCCTTCGTTAACCCCATTAGCATTCTTTAGAGTATGACTCATCAGCATTTTTTTCTAATTGCCACACGCTCTTAATTGCTATCTTAAATTAATTTAGGCTTAGATAGTATTTATTAAAACACCTCATTGTCTGGACATTATCCCAGACTATGTCATAATTAAAATTGACCTAACAGGTTTTCTGAATATTCGGTGCACCTACAAAGTATTCTAGGTTAATCTTCAGTGGCACCTGCTCGTGAATAATTACGGGATTAGTTTAACTCCTTTAAGGTTATGAATATCGTTGGATCATTAATGAGAATATGCGTCACTCATTTGACTTGTAAGATTTCTTACAACTCCGATTTCTCTTTTCATCTACCGGACGCACTTCGTTCAAGAAAAGACACACAACGCCATCTGTTATCTGGAATGGGGATTTTCGTTCAATTATGAGACAGTTTTTGCTTATTACACATAAAAAAGAGCTGTAGGCTTGTTACAAGATGGTTGACATTTCTTCATTCGGGGATAAAAGAATAATGAGAAGGCGAGTGTTTTTTGTTTTTATTTGTCATGTCAAATTGATTGGAAGGAGTACAAAATAAAAACCTCAGTAAAGTACATCCGACATTCTCAGTCGGAAATCATAAAGTTTTTTGAAATTACTAATGAACATTCGTTTGTAATTCTTTTGTCTTTGACTCTGCTTTGAGTTGTTACGTCTCTGTGAACTTTCCCTTCATTCTTCATCAAATATGCTATCGCCATCATCAATATGAAAGGTATGTAGATGAGGGTAGAGGGAAAATGATTGTTTATGAATTATATTCAACCTGCTCAATTTCCTATTCCCAGGTTAATATATTTAGCTTATCTTGCGAAGTCCAAAAGCCAATCATTCTTTCTGCAGCTAGCTCACACGCTCAGTTCACTATACTTCGCTTGTAGTAAATTAAGCTATATATTCATTTTAAGTTTCGAATTATGTTCATAAATGGGCAAAACTTGTGAGAATCCAAAGAAAATTGTCCTGTTTGCTTAGTATTTCAGTTAATTTGGCTCGTTTTCATTCCATCTTGTGCTAATGAAACGGCAGTTTATAGCTTCATAATTCACTTCTCGACATATCTCGCTTCTCTTACTCAAGACTATTTTCTAATTTCTTTTTCTGATCCAAAGATAGAGTGGCCTTAGACCATCTTATTAGAAAAGGGAGAAAAAAAAATTTTCCAGCTTCTACTTGATGTTCGGAACAAAAATATTTTTGAGATTAATGTAATCATTTTTGGTCATGGATATTTGAAAAGCTTTAATCCCAATTATTACTTATCTTTTCAGTAGAATCCTATTTTTTGAACGTATTGTTGAAAATATCAAGTTTGAGGTTTACCCTTTAGATTTGTAAAAACAAGAATACGTCATAAGTTTCTTTCCGACCTCGCTAATGCTAATGGAAATATCATGTTGTAACTTAAATATATATTTACAATATTCCTGCTTTTGCTCATATTAGCTCATATGGCGATAATGAAGAGTATTAATTCAGCCACAGTAGTGGGTGTGTTTAAGCCCGTAATTACAAAGCTTTGCTCCGCCCCGTGGTCGGAGTGCATTGGCTCATTCATATTCCTGGCTGTGACCGCAGCCTGCCTGCCCACTGTCTTTCACAGCTTCTTGTTTCAAATCTCTTGACTTTATGTTTTTGTTCTCAAATGATAAGTAGTACATGAGAAGATCATCATCAGATGATTTATATCATGCATATGGCGAACAAGATACAATATGCCCACGTTAATTAGCATAAATCAACGTGAGAACGTTATTGTTCGTCATTGCTAATTGATACGATGAGATGAGCGGTTGCATTCTTATATCATATTTCTCATTAATAATTTGCCCCTCTAATTGAATGCTTTAGCTTTTATTTCTGTTGGCTATTTATATTCAGCTCATTTCATTTTAATTGGCTTCGTATTCATATATGACTATGATTGTAGATTTATAATGATGCAAAGCCACTTTCATTTCAATAATTGGCGTGCTCATTAACGTTTTCTTAAGTTTTTCACAGAAATGTCTGCGTTATCAATGTCAATTTCTTCAATCATTCCATTTTGCAATTTCAACTTCAGCTGGTAGTTTTCTACTTCTTCAATAACTGTTGAACTTTTAGTTTGCATATTTATGATGATTATGCATGTTATTAGAACAGTCATAAGGTTTGACTCAAGCTGTTGGTCATATATTTCTTAGCTCTCTAAACCGATACTGATTTAGTAATATAACGCTGGAAAGAAACTTACTGGCGTTTCATAAGGCGTGAAATATAATCAAATTCATATATTCCCATACTTCCTCTTCTGAACTCATCTGTATGTACTTTTCTGTTGAAACACTTTTTCATTGGCGAAACAAAGCTTCCTGAACAATCTTTTCTAACAACTTTCGTCAAGTTACTCTATCGGATATCATTTCTTTTAGTTGAATGATCCAGATGTCTTTGTATTGGCCTTATACAGTTAAAAGAAATTTTCAAACTTTCTTTTTCTTTTCATGAACACACATGCTCATCATTTATATGAAATTCTATGACAAAACTTATTTAATTTGTCATTTCACACAAAACTTACAATAATGAAGCTTGTGATCATCTATTCATATTAACTCTGCTATCATAAGACTTCCTTTTCCTCTCGTTTTGTGTCTCTCATGCAATCTGATCACTTGTTCAACTGTGTTCCAACTCTTCAGACCATTTTCGGTGAAAATAACTTCTCATTTTCCTCTAAAAGTTCCTTCTCTTACTTCATTTTCCTATCATCAATCATTCAGCAAACAACTGATAAGATACACTTACATGAAATCATTTATTTAAAAATTATTTTTCTTTTATTTTCTTTCAACAGCACACTACTTCTACGGTGTTTTTTTTGAACTTAAAAAAAACTCCTAAAGGATATCAACAACTCTACTCTCTTAGTGATTGGAAGAGAAAGAGAGAGTTTAGTTTTGAATCTCTAAAAATTTGATTGTTTAATCGCAGATTCCAGTTTCTTGAGATCTTTTCATAAAAAAAGGAGTCGATTGATTTTGGTACTGCAAAGTTAACAAACTTTCTTACGCAATCAATCATACTTCTTATACTACAACGTTGTTGCTCGTCGTATTATTTTTGTTGATTTTTCTTCCATCCTTTTTGAATTTATAATATTTTTTTAGTCAATCATGGAGGCGGAAGAACCAAGAGCTGCCCCTAAAGTTGCGAGGGAATACGAGGATATGTACCTTCAGACACGCCGAATACAACTGCTGTCTCGTTTTATCACTGGAATTACGACTGCTTTGAAAACAAAATGTATGAACCTGTATCATTAACCTTATTAGTTTGCTTATTAGCGGCAATAGTACCAGAACCAGGGATGGAGTCGAGCTCTTTGAGAAAGTTAAGGAATGACTTTTACAAAGGCATGAACCTGATCTCCCAAAGTATCACAGATCTTGGGCTAGGACTGTGTGACGACTTCTTCAAGAACCTCATTGCAACAATGGTATTTTTCATATATCTGATAATTCATTTCAAAAGTGATTTGTTTAGCAATCACTCAGATATGAAACCAAACTCATGATGCCAAATGATACTGAGGAATCAGGTGAGAACAAAAGCTGATATGGTTGAAAGTATTAATTAGTAAGTAAAATAGATATCGATGAAGCACTACTGTTCCATGTTCATAAAGAACTGTTCTGTCAGTTTGTTCAAAAAATTGAGAGAGAAGCGCAAGGATCAGATATAGAAGCGCGACTGCCATCAATTTGCTCTGAAGTGGAACTAACGGACTTGTCTGGAGCACAAAGCTCTGAACCTTCTACAGACCCAAACATCGTTTTCCCTGAATTGGAGCAACAGGAGTATTGCGATGAAGATAGCTATGAACAACTTGAACAAGACAATGAATACGAAGAAAACAATGATGATCAACAAGAAGAACAGTATGAAGAGCAGGAAACCGAGCAACCTGTGGACAAAGAGGTTGAAGAGTATGGTAAGTGATATATGGAATATTAGTATTAGATTCTACCTTTTAGATGAGGCTTACGAAAGAGAAACAGCTGCAAAAAGCAACGAATCTAGCTACGTGGCCACGGATGATCCAGAGGAACAGAGAGCATTTGATTCTCAGGTGAAAAACACTTATCAGCAGTTTAATCTCTGGAGAGTTTCAGACAACAGAAGAAACCGCAAGTGTTTTTTCAAGCGCCGAGCAAACAAATGGATATAGCGAATTTCCTGAGGTAAATTGTGTATGTTCCGATGTGAAAAAGCTTCAACTATTTAGGGTGATGTAACAATGATGGTGGCTCCAAAACCAACACTCATGAAAGATATTGGAGAAAGAGAAGAGGACGAAAAAAAATCATCGTCCGAGAAAGTAGTTGTGAACCCTTCTGCAACAACTTACCTGCCAATGAATAACCCCTTTCCTTCCTTTCTAACTG